TTTAGCATGAGTTACAATAACATACTTTTTTTATTATTTTTAAATCACACCACCTCTTCACACTACAACCAACCCACCCACCCCCACCCCCATCAGAGTGCACCCTCTTTTTTTTGTATCAGGATCCTCTGAAGTAATTGGCCCTGAAGTGTGTTGATCCAATGGCTGAGAATGTAACTAACCAAAACGACGTCGTTTTGGGTAGTAATTTCAACAAAAAAAAAATTAAAGTTGATTCAAAATTCCCAAATCATCTGTGATACGTGAAGCATCAGAGACGAGAGAGAGAGAGAGAGAGAGAAGGGCTGAGAGAAGCTTCCGATCCACCCTTGATCACTGCTGCCGCTGCCGCTGCCGTTGCCACGCCGCTGCCGCTGCCACGCCGCTGCCTCGCCATACTCCAACAGATTAAAGGAAAAGAGCACAGGTTTGTTCATCCTCCAAAGTTAAAATATTAGGGCTTTGAATAAAAAAATTAGGGAAAATCTGAACTTGGTACACTCTGTCATTGTAAATGTGATCATGATGTTTATACAAGAATATTTGTGTATGTAGTGTTTTGTTAATCCAAAGTTGAATCTATGGTGATGTTTCAAATCTAATGAATATTTACGAATCTTACTTCTTCATGTTCTTCCATACAATTTTTTATTTTATTTTATTTTATTTTAATCCATACAATTTTTTATTTTATTTTATTTTATTTTAATTTCTGTTCTCTGTTTGCTTTTAGTTTAATTTTACTTGGCCTTTGGAATTTTGTTTTTTGAGATATGGTTAAAAAAAATTTGAATTTCATATAAGATCTGACATTGGGGGAAGGGGTAGGTCAAAATTTTCAATTGTAATACAAAAACCGTATTGGAAAATTCTTGAATAGAACAATGATTTGTGAGAAATTTAACAAACTTATGTGTGAATTAGAAATTGAAAGCCTTATTTTTGGTGTTTTTGGTACCAGAACTGGGTATATTTAATTCTTCAATTTGCAATTGGATCTTTGTGGGTATGATGATGATAGTTGTTACAGGGCTAATCTTTTTGTTTACCTCTCATTCTATTGAGGCTTTGGAATTCCGTAGACATATTGAAATTTAGAGTCTGAAAAAATATTTCCGGTTTCGTGTATTTGGGTTATGGATTTTAAGGAAAAAATATTTGATAACTTATTGTTCAAGGGGACAACTCAAATTTAATTTTGGATGTTCATTGACTTTGAGAGTTTTGTTGTGACTCATGATAAATTATAATGGATTTGAAATAACAATGCACATATTCTAATTGGGTAAAATCATAGGAAAATTCTTATCTTCTAACTCAAATCTTCCATGGTTTCCTTTTATACCACAACATTAATACCCTCTTTTCTCCAAAATGTTTGAGAGAAAGAGAACATAAATAAAATGTAAAGCAAGGAGGTGAGAGTCTTCAAATTAATGTGAGGTTTCGTCCAATATGACAACATCTTCCTTCTGTTGAATACAAAATCAAATATAACACCACCAATTTCATCAAGATAATTTTTACCAAACACTTGTACCTTCTTGCTTTTATAACAAACTGAACTCAGCTGATCTATAGAACCCTCCAACAGCACAAGCAGATAAACGCTACAAAACTTATGATCCCAATTAAGGAAAGCAAATTATATCTGGCCTCTAATAATCTTGGTTCATTAAGTTGGTCCAGCACCGAGCACCGTCTAATGTATGAACCCTAAAAAACAAATGATTACTTTAATCTGACAAATGCATCAAAATATAAGAAAAATCAGAAATTTTGCATCGTCTTAATGCTTTCTCGATAAAGTTGCTTATTAATCCAAAATAAATAAATAAAGACAAAACAGAAATGTCCATACAACTTGTGCAATATCCTCACCCTATATTATCAAAGTTTAACAAAAGCTAAGGACCAATATATATATGCCTGGACAAACAAAATGAAAGAAGTAAGTAATATTTTATGGGCAAAACCATTTTATAGATGAGACTTCAACTTATGGACAAATCATTGGATCACAATACCACACAGAGCATGACTGAATATTTATAAATTCCCTACTCCCATTACCCATTTCATGTACTTATTTACCTTTATAGATGGCAGGATTAACTCTCATTACCCATTTCATGTGATTTAGAATTTGAGTCCTACTCATTTTTGTTTCATTTGTTATGTCAGGTAAAAAAATGTCAACATCAAATGCATCTATGACTGATATTAGCGAAATTCAGTTTAGTAATCGGAAATGTCGTTGTGGGGTGAGAGCAGCATTCAGGATTTCAGAGTCAAAGGACAATCCAGGGATGGTATACTTTGCTTGCCCTTCAAACAACACCAATGGATGCGACTTCTTTCAGTGGTGGATGCCTGTACATAAGCAGCGTCAATGGTTGAAGATGATAAGGGAGGAAAGCGACGACAATTATAATATCAACCCTTTGGTCAACGAAGTGATTGTATCCAATGATGAGCTAAAATAGATAGTTACAAAGCTTACGAAAGAAAGTAAACAAATGGTTGTAGAGATTAGACAACTTTAGAAAAAGTTGCACTACGCCATTATAATAATGTTATTTGGATTTGGACTTCTTTTGTTGTTTAAAAATTAAGTGTAATTCAAATTCGGCTTTGAACTTTGCCTTTTGTGAACTAAATATTATGTGTAAATGAAGTTGGTTGTTGACTTCTTTTGTTTGTTTGGATTGTTGGTTTGGATTGTTGGTATGGTATGTTATGTTACTGTTTTTTTGTGTTTCTGGTTTATGTTGTTATTGAAGATATGAAGGACAATGGTCCATGTATACATATATAGAATTCCATGGACTGTTGCCATTTGTTTACTTTGATATAAATCAAGACACTCCAATGATCTATATCCTCATTCAGATTTGTCTCCCACTCAATTTCAGACCATTGTTATGACCAAACATATATTTTCAGATTTTAAGAAATTCAAATGGAATAATGTTTTATTCAAATTGAAGGGTTATAATGATTGAGCAACATATCAGCACATATTTGATTGAGCAACATATCAGCACAGATTTGGTTTATTTGGTTTACATATCAACACATATCAACATATCAGCCCAAATAAACTTATTTTTTGCTGATATCAAAGTAGAATGAGATTCCCATGATTTGAACATAACGTAAATTTCAGCAACATATTTCAACAACTTTGAGCACCATTTCAGTACATATTTCAGCAACATATCAACACAAATTTCAGCAACATATCAGCACATATTTGAGCACCATTTGAACCAAATTTCAGCAACATATCAGCCCAACTTTGAACACCATTTCAGCACAAATTTCAGCAACATATCAGCACAAATTTCAGCAACATATCAGCCCAAATTTAAGCACCATTTCAGCACATATTTCAGCAACATATCAGCCCAAATTTAAGCACCATTTCAGCACATATTTCAGCAACATATCAGCACCAATTTCAGCATTATTTCAACCAAATTTCAGCAACATATGAGCAGAAATTTGAGCACCATTTCAACCAAATTTCAGCAACATATGAGCCCAAATTTAAGCACCATTTCAGCACATATTTCAACAACATATCAGCACAAATTTCACAAACATATCAGAACCAATTTCAGCATCATTTCAACCAAATTTCATCAACATATGAGCAGACATTTGAGCACCATTTCAACCTAATTTCAGCAACATATCAACACAAATTTCAGCACAATTTCATCACATATTTCAACAACATATCAACATTCACATAAAAAAAGGTTAAGGTCATTTCAACATTCAAATTTCAGTACAATCTGCCAAGTCTTCAATATTACATATCCAACAAAAAAGTTTACAAATTTCTCAAATTTCTACATTAACATGAAAAGTGTTCAATATTACATATCCAACAAAAAAATTCAACGCTACGATATTGACATGTGATCCACATTCCCATGGCCTTGGCCACGCCCACGACTACGCCCATGCCCATATAGTACCTAAAAAAGAAAACAAATATATATAACGAACCATAAAATAAAATGGAACTTTAAATGAATGAATGGCAAGATAAAAGAGGATTGGTGAAAAATAAATTACTTCACTATACGCAGGACTATTCGAGGCTTGCAAGTCATAACCGCTTGCATTGTTAAGCAAGGCTTGATAGCTTCCATGGATTGAATACATCGATGGCATTGAAAAATGCATATTGTGACGAAGAAAACTTGGCTGCAACAATAACAAACACATATCAATTTAAAATGGTACAAAATATTTACAAATAAGACATAATAAAACTTCTTATTAAAGTAACTTACATCATAGACGGGATACATAAATTGAGTAGATAAAGCATTAACTTGAGGAACACACGTCGAGAATGGAGGAAGTTGAGGAGCACTTATTGAAAATAAAGGAGCTGATTGAGGAATACTCGGTGAAAATGAGGGAGATGGTTCAAAAGCACTCGCCGAAAATAAGGGAGGAGGTTGAGGAGCAACAGACATGGGAGTTTGAGAAGCATTGTGTGAACTAGGTTGAGGAGCAACAAACATGGGAGTTTGAGAAGCATTATGTGAACTTGTTTTATTTTTCTTTGCCAACGCAAGCTCCAAACCACCTTTTGTCCACCTTCGTCCCTTGCTAGTGCACTCTCTTCGTTTGAGTCTTTTTGCTTGAACTACATTTGTATCCGCTACACCATCCACTTCAAAGCTTTCGAGGCATGTGTCAGGAGGGCTTTCATGTTCAATAGTATCTGAGAAAGGCATATTGAATTTTGCGCTTAACATGCTTTCAATGTTTGCAATTAAGTCATCCGCTTTCTCTACCTTCAAGTTATATGTTTCCTCACTTTCGGAAGCTCTACACGCTACTGCTCTAAAAATTGCCATCAATGATCTAAAGCGTAAAGTTTGATGCAATCTTACATCAACCTTAATATCATGCCCACACCTAACTTTCACATTTTCAGCTCTTGCTTTTTTAGTCCATCTCTTGAGAATATATTAGGAAGGAATCTCTTTGAATTTGAGGCTTTCTCTAAGGATCTTCAAACAATGACTACACAAAATGCCTTTCATTTCAAATTTCCTACAATTGCAAGTAAGTGAACCATCACACTCCACTGTCACCTTCCTCACCTTTACACCATCACTATCAAGAACCTTATAAATGGTACTCTCACCACAAATTTCAGTTTCTTCAATGTTTACTTCAAGGGACTTGACATACTCATCTTGAAATTCTTCATAAATTTTATTTGTGTAAATATCTGCAGCTTGCTCCATAATCTTCACTTTAATATTCACTCTCGGCAACTTTTGGCATAGAGCATATTCGGCTTGTAACTCTTTGTACCTACGGCACCCATACACCTCCCATGCACACACCCACGGGATTGATCTGCTCACACACAGCACACACAACACATTGATACACACAGACAACACACACCTCTCTCTCACTCACGGCACCCATACACCTCCCATGCACACACCCACGGGATTGATCTGCTCACACACAGCACACACAACACATTGATACACACAGACAACACACACCTCTCTCTCACTCACGGCACCCATACACCTCCCATGCACACACCCACGGGATTGATCTGCTCACACACAGCACACACAACACATTGATACACACAGACAACACACACCTCTCTCTCACTCACGGCACCCATACACCTCCCATGCACACACCCACGGGATTGATCTGCTCACACACAGCACACACAACACATTGATACACACAGACAACACACACCTCTCTCTCACTCACGGCACCCATACACCTCCCATGCACACACCCACGGGATTGATCTGCTCACACACAGCACACACAACACATTGATACACACAGACAACACACACCTCTCTCTCACTCACGGCACCCATACACCTCCCATGCACACACCCACGGGATTGATCTGCTCACACACAGCACACACAACACATTGATACACACAGACAACACACACCTCTCTCTCACTCACGGCACCCATACACCTCCCATGCACACACCCACGGGATTGATCTGCTCACACACAGCACACACAACACATTGATACACACAGACAACACACACCTCTCTCTCACTCACGGCACCCATACACCTCCCATGCACACACCCACGGGATTGATCTGCTCACACACAGCACACACAACACATTGATACACACAGACAACACACACCTCTCTCTCACTCACGGCACCCATACACCTCCCATGCACACACCCACGGGATTGATCTGCTCACACACAGCACACACAACACATTGATACACACAGACAACACACACCTCTCTCTCACTCACGGCACCCATACACCTCCCATGCACACACCCACGGGATTGATCTGCTCACACACAGCACACACAACACATTGATACACACAGACAACACACACCTCTCTCTCACTCACGGCACCCATACACCTCCCATGCACACACCCACGGGATTGATCTGCTCACACACAGCACACACAACACATTGATACACACAGACAACACACACCTCTCTCTCACTCACGGCACCCATACACCTCCCATGCACACACCCACGGGATTGATCTGCTCACACACAGCACACACAACACATTGATACACACAGACAACACACACCTCTCTCTCACTCACGGCACCCATACACCTCCCATGCACACACCCACGGGATTGATCTGCTCACACACGGCACACACACACAGCACACTCACATATGTATCCATGCTTCACCACACACACACTGAGCTTCACTGATACACACTCACGGCACACACACACCCATCACTGCCATACACCCAGCAGCTCACACACACACCCATCACCTCTCCCTCTCGGCATACACACACATATGCATGGCAGCTCTCTCCCTCTCGGCAACTCTCTCTGCTGGGCTCTCTTCTCTCTCAAAATTCAAAAGAAGACATCCAGCTCTCTCTAGGACACCCACCCAACTTCATCTCTCTCTCGGTGCATGGTGAGAGAACACTGATAGAGAGCCACAACACACACACACACAGCAGCGGTCCAGACACACACACGGCTGGAGAGAGAAAAGGTGGTGAGATGACAGGAGGGTGGGTCTACATTGAAGATGCGTTTACATGGGCTGGATTGGATTGAAGACACATGGATGTTTGCTAGTTGCTGAATGGATCATGGTTTAAAATTTTTATTTTAATTTTGAGTGTTTTGTGAGGTTTTATTTTATTTTATTATTTTCTTCTATTTTTTATTTTGATTTGTAATATTAAAGGGTTGTAATAATTCCCTACCCCGTTTCTTTCTATCCCATTCTTTAATCGCTTTCCCTAACTGTACATATGTATATATCTCACATGCCATGCATATCCATACTTTACATTTATGTCTCATGCATTAAGATTCGGCTACATTTACATGTGTGGATTTAATCAATTCTTTTGTGATTCTATGCGCTACCCCATGTTTTTGAGATTATTCACATGTCATATTTTAGAAGCCGAATTTTTAGTACATCTCATGAGTGAATTGCATTAGGATTCTGTATATAAGATCATGCATATTTTACTAACTTTATTTTGTAGTTGTTCGAGGGACGCCGGTCGATTTGTGAGTTTTTATGCTTTAGCATCTCATTTGTATGTGATTTTCTTATTATGTTTAGCATCCTACCATGTGGCTATTTGCTTAAGTGATAAACTGTATGAATGCCTGTGGATGAAGGTTTGTTGTTTGAATTGGAATAATTCAATAAATGTATGTTTTAAGCCCACTTTGTACTGGCAAATTCACAAACTTTAAGCCCACTTTGTCAAGTGGCAAATTCAAACCCTTTTCGAAAAACAAACATAAAATTGAATTGTTCCAATTTGAGCAAACTAGTCTATACTTGTATGCTTCACATAGTAAATTTTAGGATTTATTCAGCAATCAGAATATGAATATATAAAGAAAATAAAAAGTCATATCATGGTTTAGTAGAGGCCGATCTTTTGATCGGGTGAGCGGGGGTGCTCATTATTGACCTTCCCCTCTCATACCTAAGGTTCCGAGCCAAGCATCCTTGGTTACGACGAACAGTGGCCTTGGTACCGAGTCATGGGTTTCCTAATTTCCCAAAATATTAGGTGGCGACTCTGAGATCTGATGACGCAGTCCATTTTTGACAAAATTGCAATAAAATGGATTTTCAATAAAAGTTTTCAAATCTGGACTCTCGTCTACGTTTCACATTGCACTCGTGAGACTAGATCGAAGAGATCTCAGGAGTCCGAACTGTTTAACGCGCGCGGGTACCCCCGGGCATGTTACACATGCCTTAATGCATTTTGCATCAAATGCCAAGTGCAAAGGCGGTGTTTTGTGTTAGGCATGACAATTAGGGCTGAGCAAGTAATCCGTGAAATCCGTAATCCGATCCAGTCCAGTCCAATCCGATAGGTTTGGATTGGTTTTTTGAATCCGTGGTTCGGTTTCGGATTGAATAATTAAAAATCCGTAGTCTACGGATTGGTTCCGGATTGAACCCTACGGTTCCGGATTGGAACCGATCCGGACCGTATATAAATAGTCTATATTTTTATTATACATCCTCCCCCATAATATCTTCTCTTAATTCTATATAAAATTTAAACTCAAACCCAAAACCGTATAATATATTCTTTTATTACTTTTGTTTGTTGTTTTTTAGTTTTAATTTGTAATGGTTTAAATACTTATAGTGAAACCAGTTTTCTTATGGTTATTTAAATTTTAGAACAGTATGTCGTTATTATAGAAAAATATGTTGTTATTGTGGAACTAACATAGCGCTATGTTCAAATTTTTATAAAATTAAAGTGTTATATATATATTTTTGTTATTTAATTATGTGAATCCGTGGTCCTAAACCGATCCAATCCGTATTTAAATGGATTGGTTCGGATTGGTTCCATGATTTAAACGGATTGGATTGGTTCCAATTTTTTAGGAACCGTAGATAACGGATTGGTCCTGGTTTTATCCTAATCCGGTCCAATCCGGACCATGCTCACCCCTAATGACAATAGGTATGGCCTTAGCCATTGCAGCATCCTGGTCCGTAAACATTGTTTTCGAAGCCTTACTTGACATTGCCTCCAAGAATCTTCTAAAAAGCCATATAAAAGAATCAGCAGTCTCATCATACATCAATGCTACGCCAAATATAACAGTTTCCCTATGATGGTTAAATCCAACGAAAGACACAAATGGTCTATGTGCACTATTTAACTTGTAAGTAGTGTCGAAAGTGACAACATCACCAAATTGCCTATAATCCATGATCATCTGAGCATCGGTCCAAAATATGTTTGTAATCTGCTCCTCACTATCTAATTGGACCGAGTAAAAAAAAGATGGATTCTCTAATGTCTTCTCACGAAAATATTGCAAAATGCTACCTGCCTCCCTATATGCTAAACTCTTTTGCCTCTTCGTTCTCAAATAATTTTTTTGGTCCACTTTTGTGAACCCAAGCGACTCCCTTCCACCAGCTTCATTACACATGAGCTCAAATGCAGCATTAAGCCGGATTCCAGATTTTTCAGCTAAATCTATTTCGGCTGCCTGTGATGCAGATATCTTCCTTTGGGATGGTAACATATGCGTACATTCTGTTGGTACAAAAATATGATTATGTTGTTCAACAAACTCACCAACAAAAAATTTATGAATATTCTTATCCCACTTAATGATAAGTCGGGCTTGCTCACTTCCTGCCTAGGATTTTTTGTTAATGGATCTCGCTTGTCTATACCCCGAAACCCCTCCTTATTACAAACAAATAGCCTTGAAGTGATTTGCCCCTCCTTGTTCTTGTTTACATAGCCCCTTCTAATACTAAACCCCATCCTTCCTCCATAAGCATTATAGAAATTATATGCTTCTTGTTCTGTATCAAATGTCATGTAAACTCTAGGCTTCCAATCACAATCACCCCCATCATTCTCAACATTGTTAGGTTCCATATCACTGTGCCAAGTCACTTAAAAAAATATAAAAAAGTGCTCAATATTAGCATAAAAACTGCAAATTATGTTTGCAAAATAATACGAACTAAATAAAAACACTACAAGAATTGAATCATATTAGATTATATAAACAAAGGGGCACAAAGATGGTCTTCAATGTTAAATTGTGATTTAAATGATCCAGATTGAACACAAATTCCTTAATTTTCTTATAATCAACATGTTAACATACAAAATCAAAATTAAAATTAAACAACAAAAACAAAAAAAAAAATAAATGAATGAATGAAATGTAAGATACTTCTATTTATATACATTATCTTTGACTGCACCAAATGTTTAAAAAACAAACATCACTTATCAGCTAGAACCTACAATTGCACAATGTTAACCATCTCTATTAAACAAAATGCCCAGAATTTTCCACACCTCCACAGCAAACAAAAAAGAAAGGGGTAAGAAAATCAACCAAATGGCTATAACCTACAATTGCACAATATTGATCAAGATAATAGCTAAATTACTAATATGAAATAAAAAAAATAAATAAGGTTTGCCCAAAAGCACAGCCTATAAATGATGTGCAAAAAGCATAGAAGGGTTATAAACTTATATTTAAACAATACATATACTGAATTCATGACAACCATGATCAACTAAAAAAATGATGAAAATTTTAAAAACTAATTTGGTTTCGTTTTCATAATCTATTTTTTTAAAACACTAAAAACTAATTTGGTGAAAAAATAATGAAAATTTTAAAAACACTCATCATCGTGTCATTGTAGTTGGCATGGTTGCTGAAATACCCCAAGCCTTTTTCTTTCAGAAATACCTCCATTTCTTCTTTCAGAAAGGACTAGAAAAAGAAGATTTCATGGAGGACTTACTGTTCCATTTCTTGAAATGGTTTTCTTTTTCAGACCTCTTTGCTAACTATGTCTCAATCACTACCAGAATTCTTTCCATTTGGCAATTACAATCCTTCCAACAACTCTACTTTTCTCCCTCCTCATAGATTTCGTGAACTTCCTTAAACAGTTCCATCTCAACCTCCAAAACGGTGGAAAAGAAAATTCTGGATAATTGCTCTCTTGGGTTTCGTTTTCAGAATTTGTTTTTTGAAAACACGAAAAACTAATTTGGTAATGAAAAAATATAAAATACTCATAATTTTTTTTTTGGGTTGTGTGCATAAATAGTTATTGAAAATTCAAAGATATCTTTCTGGTGTTTATTTTCAGCAAACTAGTTTTTTAGTATTTTTCAGAAAATAGATTCTGAAAATGAAATCAAACCAAGATGCTCAAGAATGTAAAATTGCAGGAGATGGAAACATAAAGGGTAGCATTGGAGGTGTATCGGCTTCTACTATTACTAAAAAAATATGGTTAGTCTCTCTTTTTTGCATTCCCGCCACACGGCTTTGCTTACTGGAGGGAATGATTTGGGAATTTTGAATCAGCTTTAAATTTTTTTTTTCTTTTTTCTTTTTTAAAATTACTAACCAAAACGACGTCGTTTTAATTAGTTACATTCTTAGTCATTGGATCAACACACTTCAGGGATCACTTCAGGATCCTGATACCACCCCCACCCCCAATCTTTTGATAAAAGTTAAAAAATATAAATAACTTTTTAACATTATATTTAGTTAGAGAAGGGGGGCTTGGATATGTAGTGATTTGTTTGTCTGATTCTACTAGACAATAGAAAAGTTGTTATTAGAACTTGAAGAAGTAAATCAATGATAATAACACTACAAATGTAAATGCTTCACTGAATTGGGGTTATATATATATATATATATATATCCTTTGATTCATTTTATTAATTTATTTTTCTTTTTTATTTGTTCAGGAATTTCGTTGGTTCGTTTTGTCGATTTTATTCTTCTACTAAATCCCTAAATATTGATCTCTCCGACGAAGAAAGCAAAAGGCGTTTATTCAACAGGTTTGTTTTACAAAAATGCCATTTGTGTAAGTATTCAGGTGATTTTGATGGTGATTTCCATCTCTATATGTCCATCTAGGTTGTTATACAGAAGCAGACAAAGAGGGTTTCTTGAACTAGATTTGATTTTGGGGAAATGGGTGGAGGATCATATCAATTCCATGGATGAAAATGGAATTAAATCCCTTGTTGATGTTCTTGACCTGGTAATTTTGTTGACCTCTGTTTTTGCTTCTTCAATCTTTAGCCCATGGGTATATATTTTTGAAAGGCCAATTGGGTACTGGTACTTTACTATTATTAGTATTGTGTTACTTATAATTTCTCATGTTTTTGTGTTTGAAAATTGAAGCTCTTTATTAAATTTGATGACTCTAGAATTGGGTTTTACTGGAATCTTCACGTTTGTGTTTTATTTTTATTTATTTATTTATTTTTATGCAGAGCTGATTTAGATGCTCACATATCTTCATTTCCATGCATAGGTTGATAAGTTTGTTATTAAATTGGACTATGCTTGTAATTTGTGTTTTGTGACCTCAACTCCATGTGGGGTATTTTGATATATATATATATATATGGTTCTCAATCTAATATTAAATTTCAGTATGTTTGATGTTTATGATCTGCCACAACTTTTAGAAGTTGAATTTTGCTACTTTTTGGAGGCCCAGATGCATACCTTCGCACAAACACGTAGTTATTTGCATATAAATGGTTTTTGTCATATAGAGGACTTTGCCATCAAGGCTGCAAATGCGTTTGCATATGTAAGATTTAAACCATGAAGGCTAAAATTGATTGCGGGGGGAACAAGTGAATGAAACTTGAATTCATATTATGCTCAAGACATTCATCAAACTATTTATCAATCCTTTTTTACCACGATATTTTAATTTTGGTGAAAGTTTGGTGTTTTTAATTTTAATCCTTATAAATTTTTAGTGCAGTTTGTATGAGAGGGTTCAAGAACGTCGTTGGAAAATTCGAAAATCTTCGAAGATCCTTGAAGAACAACTTCGAAGTCTCTAGAAGATAATGAGAGGCTTAGATTCTTCAATAGTCTCAATTTAAGAACACAAGAGTAAAGGAGATGATGGAGATAAGAGATTGGGTGAAGAAGAAGGCAAAGTAGCTAGAGAGAGAATAATGGCAAGGCTCTCCCATGGATCTCCCACTTTCACTCTCAAGGTAGATAATGGAGAAGGGAAATTAGTTCTTTCTCAAGAGTTATCTCTCCAAAATCTATATCTTGTAAAGCTATGGATGTGTGTTATTTATAGGCACCTCATGATGTAGGATGGAGCCCATGTGCAAGGCATATGGGGAATATTCTCTCTAACCACCTTGTCCAAGGAGGTGACCTCTCCGAGGATGAGGAAAACCCTGAAGAGGAGATCAACCTCTCGGTGAACCCTTCTTCTTAACCACACCTAACCAATGATCCCCAATCATCTCAAGGAGCCGAGGTAGTCCTAGAGGACCCCCTCGCCGCTAAATATTGCCGAGTCTCATGGACCCCCCGGAGTCGTGCCACCTCGACCCGGGTGTAGGCTAGTTTAACCGAAGAGTGAATTTATCTCTACTTACATCCTTGGGATCGGGTCATTTGTTCGAACTCCATTACGTCCATAGTTCTGGTGCGCAGATCTCGGAAAGCTCCGAGCCCACAAGTGTTCTAGGACTCATTAATGGAGCGGCTTCTAGATTGTGTCTGAATCCGTTCGAAGCCAAGTGTTTCGGATCTCTAGGTTTGTGGATCCAAACCCTTTCAAGTCCGAGCCCGAGTAAGTCTCTAAGATCGTGAATCCGAACCCTTTCGAAGCTTAGAGCGATTCGGCCCGTTTGATGATGATTAATCCGAGCCCACCAATCTTGGACTTGCGATAAATTCGGGCTCACTAATCTTGGGCTATTGGGCCTAATTAATTTAGCGGACTCAAATTAGCTCCTCTTACACAGTTTAAGAGTCTTTTACAAATCTTATTGGCCTTTGAACTACTTGTTTTTTGCATATGTTTTCTATATCAGGAGCTTCCTATGTTCTTTGTCAAAGAATTCACATAACTAAAATTTGATGGGGTCTAGGACAGTTAGATTGGTGCAATCAGTAGCAGAAAGGGAGTAGTGTACCTTGGTATGTGTATGTGACGTTTTGGGTTCACAACTGTGTCCTGAGAAACCTTATGCTTGTTATTTGCAAGTAAATGTGATGATTTAGGAAACCTCGAGAAGGTAAACAACATTTATCTACATCAATCTTTTTAAGGCTGCGGATCAATTTTATGGCTCAGAATATTTATTGATTTTAGGGTTTGTATCTCCTGCAAGGGGTTGATTTCACCTTCACTTAGCTGAATGCATTTCTCATTGAATCGTGCACTTTTTTCATATTTTATGTGCAGGAATGTCCAGATTTGTGGAAGTGGCTCACCGACCAGGAGCAACCCCCCAAAACAATAAACACAAATCCTGTAAGACAAATTATCTTTTTCTCCCCTATTTTGGTTTTTTGTTGGTTGTGTTTTTGGCCCATCCTCTCCAAAATGTGTGTTCATATAATTTACTTTGAAATTAGGTTTTTTCTGCCTTACATGAGAAGGTTTTGAACAACCTTAAAAACCATGCTGCTCCTGAGACAAGGGCAACCCCCTGACAACCATGGTTGAGAGGATGGGATGATTTCAAGAAAGGACGAGACGGTCCTATATCCGGGAATCAGTAGCTCTGCCACTGTCTCAAAGCTAGAATATATAGTGGATTTTGTTCTTTTGTAGCTAATAAAGAATGGTAATAGTTCATTCATGATTGGTGATCCTAATACAGGAGGTAACAATAGTGAGAAGCTAAAGTCTTTCTGAGGCCTATGTACTGTTTTTGACGATTGACATTATTGTACGATGAAGATAATTGTGTTTCAAATACCTGATCTCAACAATGAAACACTAAATCAACCTTTTTTGTATGAGTTTCAATGTTGGATTGAGTGATCTTTTTTTACCTCATTTTCTTGATGAGTTTTCCTCTATTTCCCCCCCCCC